TCTTACATTATAGATAATCGATATTTATCGATTCAAGTTATTATCGGGTCAAATTATTATTGAGATAAGCAAGACAGAAGTATATATGATATAAATCTTTGTACCTTTTCCTAGATATATGCTTTAAAGAAAATATGTTAATTTCGGCTGTTATCGGAACCAATTCATGATGGGACAAGATGATAACTGAAATAAGTATTAAATACTATTTAAATGAAAATCGAGATCTTTAGTTCATTCTATTAAAAAATAATAATAACTAATAATAATGCTTAATATGTTAGGATGTAAAATATTGATGTATATATTGATGAAATACCCCTGATATCTTTTATAAGAATTAAAACGCTTTCGAAAAAAATCTAGAGTTCATCCAATGCGGAAATCGATATTTATCGAAATATGATTTAGATGTATGCATCACATCTGATATGGAAACTGAACAGCTTCCAAACAAATTCAGTATTCTAACCTACCCCCACCCTATGCAGAAAATCGATATTTATCATTTATGAGACAAACTGAAACTTCATAAAAGCTTATTAAACTTGACTTCCCAGAATATATATATATTTAAAGAGGTCAACTTTCTTAGACTCGTGTACAATAAATTAGTCAGACTTTTGCTGCTTAAGCTTGCCTGAAATTCATCAAAAATGTATGCGACTTTCTAAGTTCGAATCCCTGCTCAAACTCTACCTATACTTACAGGGTATAGATATACGAAAGAAAAGAGAAAACGCAAACGCAAAGTCAAAACAAACAAGCGCTCGGACTGCGTCGTGGTGCTCGAAGCGTTTGTCGCATTTATATGCAAATTATAGATGCTTGGCATTTCTTTATGCTGCGGGCCGTGCAGATTTGTCTGCGCTGGCGTTTATCGTAAGCAGCAAACGGTTCTTTCGTAGCCAAAGCTGCAGCAACTTTTGTGTTGCCTACTTTTCAGGGCACGCAATTTGCATTATCCACTCAACGTGGAGTCAAGCGCAGAGAACTATGCGCTGCATGCCTTAAATAAAAAGTACAACAACAACAACAACACCAACATCAGCAGCAGCAGCAGCATCTAGCAGCAATAAAAGAAGGGAAAGTCTGGCGACTTTCTTTAGGCACTTTCACGGTTACCAGAGGAGGAAAATCCTTGCTTCGTGCTGCGGCTTTCACAATTCTGTAAGCCACAAGCGAACAGCTGTGCAACAATCAGCCAAGCAAACAGACAAAGCATCAGACAACCTGCTCTACCTATACATAAGTAATGCCCACACACACACACAAACACACACACCCACACACATGTCGAGTTGACGACAACAGCAAGAATCAAATTGAGGTCTTGAATTGCCATCGGAGTTGTTTGGCGTTGTTAGGCAGCAAAAACTTTGCTCAAGTGCGTTGATTGCCATGCAAAAAAGTTGCCTCTTCCTCGGCTATTTGATGTACTTATTTAAATACCCTGTGCCGTGCGTGTAACAGCTTTTGTGTGCAGCATAGGGTAGTTTGGCTTCAAGCAAAAATATGTATATACAAAATTTATTGAATTTAATTCAAATTTATTTAATAAATCAACTATATATAATTTTTAGTTATATAAGAGTAGATAATTAATGT